GATCCTAGTGCCGCCCTCCCGGGATCGGGAGAGCCGCCGGGAAGGCCGGGCCGGACCCCCCGCTCCCCGAGGGCCCCGGGGCTGGGGCAGCACTGCCCGGCTGTCCAGGAGCAGCCCGCCGTGCCTGACCCGCTGCGGGGCACAGCGCATTGCTGGCATGCCGAAGTCTCCCCCGCGCTGGCCGGGCAGCTCAGGGCCSCGCTCCGGGGGGTTTCGTGGTGCAGGGAGAGTGCTCCACTGCTGGTAGGGCCCTGCATCCCTGATGCTCGTTCAGAGGGATTCTGGCTCCGCTGTGCCGGTGATGGCCTGCCCAGCGTGGGGCTGAGGCAGCTGAAGTAGCAGGCAGAGCTCCACGGGCTCCCGTGCTGCACTGCCCTGCRGACAGCAGCCCTGGCAGCACCCCCAGTTCTTGGAGCAGTCAGTCYTCACTGCACCCCAGCATCTCTGCCTGTCCTGTCACCCCTGACACTCCAGACACCACCAGACCCACCCAAACATGAGGTATCTGTTAGTTTCAAAGAGTTGCTGTGGGCTCGGGCCCACACGTGCTCATGGCATGTCCCATCTCCAGRGACATGGAGCTGCCAGTGTCCTGCTGCCAGCCAGGCAGCACTGGGCCCTGTGGGACTGAGGACCACTCCAAACCCAGCACCCATCCTGCAGAGATGCAGCTGCTGATTCCCAAACAACCTCAACTGCTTTCAGTACCCTCCTCCATGCTTCTGCTCAGCTCTACCCCCTTGTCACTTCTCCCTCTTATTTATAGCCTGGCAGCCTGTGATGAGCTGTTGTGTATTCCCCCTCCCTCCCTATCCCGTCCTGCAGCCACAAGTGGCACAGAAAAGGGCACTACTGAATTAAAAACAATTTTAATGGCCACATTTGCTTTGGTCTGAATCCAAGGGCACTTGTGACAAGGCAACTCAGAGCCCCCAGGGCACGTGTGGCTCTGGGGCTTCCCAGCTGGGGGCATGCAGGCACCAGGCAGCAGAAGGCAGAGCCTGGATCCAGCTGCCTGCACCCCACACCCAGCACTGTCCAGAGAGCACGAGTGGGGCAAGGACCACAGGAGAGTTTTGTCCCTACAAGAGGCAGCAGCTTGTGGCCCTGGTGGGGCTGAGCGTTTCTGCCCCATGTCCTGCTGGAGTCCAGCAGCATGTCTAATCCTGCATTAAATATTCCTCTTAGTAGAGCGGGCGGAAATCTGAGTCACCCTGAGTCCATCCAGGCRGTGTTTGGAGCTGTTGGGGCTCCATGCATCCAGCTCATGCCCCCCACAAACCAACATGGGGGTTCCCAGCCCATCTACTGGCCGGGCAAACAGGCACTGCTTCTGCAGAAACACAGACTCCCTGCTCCAGGGCTTGGCAAAAGGTGTCCAACCRTGGCACTGGCAGAGCTGAGACACGTTGCTGCAGGATGAGAGCTGCCCCGCTGCCGGGGTTCCTGCTGCCTCACCCCATGGCTGGCGCCCTACCCGCCTGCCCAGGATGGGTGGTTGAAGACAATGTTCCTCCTCTTGGCCCAGCGGGAGAAGATGGCTTTCTCGGTGATGAAGCGGTGCCCGGCGCGGCGAGCTCGCTCGTGCATCAGGTACATCTTGCACTCGTCTAGCCGGCCCTTCTCAAAGTAGTGGTATGGCACACTGGAGTGGTTCTTCTCCCTGGYAGGAGGGKACGGGGTGAGTTGGGACTTGGGGGKACACCAGACCACCCCACCCCTGCCCCCACAGCCCCCCACACACCTGCAGTAGCTGTCGCTGACCATGCCGAAGACGCGGATCTGCTCGCACAGCTCCATGGCCAGGATCATGGTGAACCAGCCCGTGCTCAGGAAGGAGCCRGATTTCATCCTGCAAAGCGTTGTGGTCACACTGGAGTGGGTGGCACTGTGCTGCTGGCCTGGCCACACTACAGGTGCCCAAGGGGTTGGGTCAGAACCCGATGGGGCTCCTCAGGAGCCAGCGGTACCTGTTCTTTCCTGTCTCGTTCTGGAAGACATCGTCACAGTACGTCATCTTCTCCTCAGTCAGGGTGTAGATCTGCAGCTGGGGGTATTTCTCCATCACCTTGAGCAGTGCCTGGTAGGTCGAGCCCACCTTCTCCCTGCTCATCTTCTTGGCCGGCCCCCAGATGAAGTAGAGGGTCTCCTGGGACTGCTGGAAGAAGTAGGGCTGGTTCCCCAGCAGCAGCGGGACGCTGGTGTGCGAGACCACGCGGATGGTGCTGCGTGCCCCCACGTCCTGCTCRTAGCCGGTGGTGGGAGCGTGGTTCATGCGCAGGACACACTCCTGCCCATCGATGGCCTGTCCCAGCTGCGAGCCCAGCATCTGTCCCGAGCTGGACACAACGGCGCAGTGGCGGCACAGCGCTCGCTCCAGAGGCTGTGGGGAGATGCACCGTCAGCTCCTCCTCCCCTCCCGAAGCAGCTGGACACCCACAGCCCTGTCTGCCCTTCCGTAAGGACAGGGAAACTGAGGCACAGGTGGGCCGAGCCGCTCCAGCAGCCCCAGCGCTGCCCCATCCCCACGCACCTTGCCGTCGGGAACGCGGCTGTAGCCCTGGAAGCTGCGGACGGTGGATGCGGCGGGGCTGTCCCGCAGCCCCGGGGCCTGGCAGCAGGGCTGCACTCGGGCATGGGAGCGCAGCAGGATGTACAGCACSGCCACCACCACGGCGCACAGCAGCGTCAGGAAGAGCCGGACCTGCAAGCAGAGCGGGGAGAGCTCTCCGGGCCCGTCCACGTGCAGCGGCCCCGCGGGAGCTGCCCCTCGGAGGCTGCCGGGGTGTGCGGGGTGCCGGGCCCGGCTCGCTTCCTGCAGCGGCGATGCCCACGGGGGATCCATCCAGCCGCCGGGCTCCGGGGCGAGCGGCCCCCCGATGGCGGTGGGGTCCCACCGGCTCCTCGCCCCCTGCCCCAGCGGGTACTCACCAGCGTCTTCATCCTCGGGGGGCTGGCGAGTCACCGGGCGGGGTCCGGGGGCCACCGGGAGGGTGGGGGCTCGCACCCTGCAAGCGGAGCGGGCTCASTCGGGGGTGAGGTCGCCCAGCGGGATCTCCCCTGGCCCCCAACGCCCGGGGTTCCCCCTCACGCCTCCCCGGGACCATTACCGGGATCCCCCCACGTACCCTCGTTCCCAGGACCCTCCGGCGTCCCCCCACGTGTCCAGTTCCCCCCTCCCCGTATCCAGTTCCCCCCGTGCCTCCGAGGGTGCCGCCCCACCGGGGAGGGCTCGGGGTCGGAGTGTCCCCCCGGCGCGGCGCTCCCGTCCCCGGTGCCGGCCCCACTCACCGAGCCGGGAGCCCCCAGGGCCGCCGGCGGCGGGTCCCGCATCCCGCCCGGACTGGGGCTAGCGGGCCGCGGCGGGGCGGAGCCGAGCGGGCACTGCCGGGACCGGCACCGGGACCGCCCCCGGCCGCCCCGCCCCGCGACCCGGCTGCTCCGGGGACGGGCCCGCCCGCGCCCGCGGGATCGTGCCCGGAGCACCGGGACCGACCCGGAACCCACCTCCTGATACCCGCCCCCGCCTCTCTCCCCACCGTGTGCCCCCACAGCGACCCCACTGCTCTTTCCCTGCCCTGCCCTCTCTTCCCCGCCCGCCCGTGGGTCTCTCCAGCCTCCCTGTCCCCTGTCCTCTCTCACCTCSGTGCCCCACCAGCTCCCGATGAGCCCAGGGACACCACAAGGATCCGCAATGATTCCGGAGCGGAACCGGGGCGGGCGAGACCCCAGACCCCATCCAGTGGCCCCAGGGGTCACCTGCAGCCCCTCCTGCCAGGGTCACGCCACAGAGCACCCACGAGAAGTGTTCCCAGAGCGAGCTGCCTGCTGGCTCAGGAAGGGGCACGGGACTTCAATTTCTCCCAATGGTGATRAAGAAACATGAGACGTAACCTTGAAAGCAGTCCTAGCTGCTGTCCTGCACAGGGAAGAGGAAGCAATAGGACACACTGGCTTCTTGCACAGGAAGCAAGGCTGRAGGGGAAGTCCCACCTGGAGCTCCCTGTCACCATCGCATTCTTCCCTCTTTGCCTCCTTCTGTCTCAGCCCACCATTGTGGCCAGCAGCTGAGTGGCAGGGAAGGGCAGTTTGACAGCCCAGCGCAGCCCAGCAGCCTGAGCAAGAGCTGGAAACAAACCTCCAGCCAGAGCATCAGCTCTGGACCCTCCACTGGCTGCTGCAGCCAGGGTCACCCCAGGACCTGTGGCCCTCGGGCTACCCCAGCCACCAGCATCACCCTCGAGGAGGACAGGTGACTGTGGGACATGCTGCTGGCAGGAAATTCACAGCACATGCAAGAAGGGTCAGAGTGCCCCATAYCTGCCCTCCCCAGGCAGGGGACAGCAGCCCCAAGCACAGCAGAGCCTGTACGAGGCTGGGCCAGGTTCTCTCTGGTGCTTCCCTGCCTGTCCTCACTGGCAGGACCTTGTCAGCAGATGTCATGCACTGCCAGGGCAATGCAGCTGAACCCATCCTGGCAGGCCTGTGGCACCCCTTGGCATGGGCAGAGGACAGGGACAGAGATCTTGCAGACCTTTATTGAGAGTGATCCTGCTCACCATGGTCCAGGGGAGCTGCCAGGAGAGGAAACCCCATGGGGGAAGGACAGTGCCACCACACCCTCCTGCTCAGCCCCAGCCTGGCTGGCACAGGGYGCCTTGTCTGGGACAGGAACCCAGCCAGGGCTGGCAGCTGTGATGGGAACCACCCCCAAACACTCCCTCGTGATCCAGGACATCYCCTCACCACCCCCTCATCTGGGTGACTGCATGGTGGGATGCAGAAGGCAGCACTGTTCCCACACACCCAGCCTCATGGGGTCCTTCTTCAGAAAGGCAAGAGCCCCCAGCACCATGAGTTTCCCTTCCWGCAGCAAATGGAGAAGGCAAACCTGCTCTTTCCAAGCACAAATTCTCATTTCTTTCCTCTCAGACTTGAATCAAAACAACCCCACAAAGCATATGTAAACTTTAAAAAGGTTCCAGAAGGAACAAACTACTGGGCAGAGCCAGAGCAGAGGGGAAGGAGTGCCCAGAGTGGGCAGGGCAGCCCCAGCTGGGGAGCAGGGASAGCAGATCCCTCAGCAGGGGCTCTGGTCCCTCATGTGATGAGCCTTGGATGAATCCTGCTTCTCTTTGGTCAGTAAATTGTAAACTACAGGTTTAGTCTCTGCAGGAAGGAACGTGGGAGCAGCTCAGTGCYGGGCACCCCGGAGGAGGTGTCTGCCTGGAGCTGCAGGAAAAGTCTTTTCCTGGCTACGACACCGCAGCGTGGGCACCTCCTCATCTCCTCATGTCGGCCTTCAGTCTGATTTCTTGGCAGGTTTCCTGCTCTTCCACATGACGAACATTATAAAAACACCTGAGAGAGAAAGAGAAAACAGATCCAGGTAGGAAACCTTTAATTCCATTCACTTCTAAAACACCTGGTAAGGAGAAACAGAATCTCAGAAGASAGTGCAGAAAATTGTGCTGTTCAGAGGCTCAAACAGCCAAAGTCACAMACAAACACAGCCCCTGTGCCAGGCTAAGCTGTAGCAGTAACCACCCAGAGTATCACGAGTGTCACACATTAGCTAAACCCCTAGCAACCCTCTTCTCTCTTCCTAATTTAGAAGTTTCTAATTAGAACAACAGAAATAACTCTCACCTATAAATAGCAGCAGCAGCAGCCCGGCCGCCACAGGGATGATAACTGCRTATTCCCGAGGCAGGAAATACTGGTGGATCCCATGGTCGCTGTCAATGAAGGGCTGCAGGGACACAGAGCGGTGTCACCAGGTGGGCACAACACCTTGAGGTGCAGCCTCGAGGTTTTGGGAGCAGAACACAAATATCTGATGTGAGGTGGCTGAAAAAATGGTGCTCAGACCCACACATGGCTCAGCCACAGCCACAGGGACCAAGAGTGGGTGGGCAATGAAGGCTTCGGTGTTTAATGGACAACGAGGGGAGGCCACTGGGGCTGGCACAGGGGTTTGGGGTGGGCACAGGGATTTGGGGCTGGCACAGGGGTTTGGGGTGGGCACAGGCGCTGGTGCAGAACACAGCAAATCCCAGTCTCTGTGCCCTGCAGGAGGGAGCAGCTGCACCACCTCCGCTCCAGTTATCCCAGCAGAATCCCTCTGCGGAGGGAAGTGGAAGGTTCTGGACACTAGGGAGCAGTGTGAGGATTGCCACACGGCTCTGGGAATGCCGGGAGCACAGACACGGAKCAGGCAGCACAGTGAGCAGATGCAAGAGGGGAATTCAAAACATTTGGAGTTGGAGGGGAAGCCGGTGAGAGTTCAGACAACACCCTGGGGCTGAMCCCGGCCTCTTGCACCTGGAAAGCTCTTGAGGAGAAATTTCTTTTCAGGGAGAAAACCACTAATGACCCAGCTGATGTGTCCCCAGAAGTGGGCAGCCTTGCACTTTTCCAAAACCCTGCATTCCCTAAATTCTCCTCCCTACCAAGCTCCAGATTTGCTTAGATCCGTCTCTTTTTATGTTTCCCTCTRTCATCTCCCACCAGAACCAGGAATCTGAGATATGCAAGTGTGGATATTGATGACCACAGCTCCATCGGGGCCATGCTTCAGCTCTCCCCAGTGCCACATCCAGCCCTGGCTGGGTCAGACTGTCTTGAAAGAGCAGGTGGGCACCACGAGCAATGTTTGGTGTTCCCCAGGAGAGGCCAGGAGCACCCACAAGAGACAACGGCTGTGCCAGCACACAGAGGAAGATCTGCCCTGAAATTACCCCAGGGCAAGAATCCTTCGGGCACAGACACATCATCACCTGAAAAAWGGCCAGGGAAACACATGATTGTGCACTGACTGGGATTTGATTGACCAGAGACCCGTACCAGTATGATGATCCAGAGGGTGTAGTAAACAAAGAGGACGAGGCTGAAGGCGACCAAGCCAAACCCAACCAGCTGGTCCGTCGCTGTGGCCTGCAAAGGGACACGGTCAGAGCGGGATCCGCACGGCAGCGCCGGCCAGGGCACCGGGTGTTGGCTACGTGACCGCGCTGCTGCGGGCCGGGACACCGGGGGGACGGGAAAGCCCGGGACACGGACACCGCGGCTGCCGGGCCTTGCCGCATGGAACTCCTGAGCCAGTCCACACCCCGCATCTCCGGCCGGGGTCGCCCACGGACCGATCCCGCCTGCCCCGGGARGCGGCCGGGCCCGGTCTCTCCGCAGGGGCGGCAGCCAGGGAGCCTCGCACGGGCTCCGGGCCGCGATTCAGCCGCAGCCCCCGCGCTACCGG